TCCCGATCAGCCGGGCTGTGGTGGGTACGTGGCCCTGCGGGCCGCTCCAAGCAACAGCCTGGTGGACCAAACTCTCACAAGTCGAGCCTGGCCTCGGGCCGGGCTTGGGGAGTAGAAGAACTCCCAGAACCCCATCAACCAGGTATCAACCAGGTATCAACCAGGGAGTTTTCTTACTTATGGTTCCCATTGAATGTTTGCAAGTTCATGTTTATATTTTGTCCCAGTCAATCTTAGAAGTATTAAAATTTAATTTATTGAATAATCCCCTCTTGCTTGATTACTTTTTTAGGGAACTATTAGGATTATTGGTGTTAGTCTGCACTTCGATGAGCGAGTGATCACAGTACGTGTGTACTGTGTAGCACATGTGTAGTGTGTACGTGTGTAGCACAGCACACAGTACATAACTTAGATTGTAATGTCCCTAATTATTTTTTCACTGTCATCATCAGACCTTAGAGTATTTTCATTCGTAGTTGGCTCCGTTTTCAGCTGGTTGAGTGAAAATGTGTCACAGAATCTCAGTAGTTCTCTGATCTGTGACTGGTTATTTCCTGTTATAATATTATTGTTAGATATTCGCCATCTTGGACTATGCATGTTGAAGTCCCCCTAGATAATACTTGGCATGGGGGCAGATTATCTAGGCTATTCCCTGTTACTTATCTACTCTCTGACTCCTTCCACCGTTGTATATAGCGGCTTGTGTACGAGAATAATAATTAGGTTTATCTTGAATCTCAGATACCGCTGATACACCAGGAAAGATGAATCTCTCAGATACCTAAGAATACAGTAGATCGTGTAAGGAAAGTGAGTCTCCCACATGTGTAAGGATACAGTAGTACATACATATAAATGTTCAATTGAGCAAGGTTGTATTGATCCTCAATTGAAAGATTCATTTCAGAAAATTAATGAGCAATAAGAGCATAACCAGTCGTCAAAATGTTCAGATGAAAATTTTATTTAAAAATTTAATTCAAATTTGAAAACATTTCAATTAAAAAATAGTGTATGTATATTAGTTTATTTTTAATTTTCGTTATTTTCAATACTAAAAAGTTGCCAGATTTTACAAGATTTAACAAATACACTAAAATTTCTCTCCTGTAAATTTGACACTAAAAATTAATTTTGAAAATAAATTTACAAATTTAGCCAGCGTGGAGAGATTAAGCCACAAAAGTTACTAGCCAAAAGAAACAAAGTTGCTGAACTAACTTCAGTGTTCAAAACCCTATCTTCAGTTACCAAATTTCTGCTATATATAAATACCGCTTGAATGCAATCTAAAATTTATATTCATGGTTCGGGTATTTTTTTGTTTAGGGTTTATATTTTCGGAATTATATATGCATTGAAAGTTGGACTGAAATAATCCACTTCAAAATCTACTTTACATTAAGAAGAACTTGAAGTTGAATTTTTCAGAATAATATTCATAACCTAAATGTAACAAAAATTGATTCATTAAAGGTATTCAGTACACTGATTACATTTAATTAAATTTACGAGCGCAATTGTACAGTTACAGAGGAAGCTTTCTTCATCACACTGTTATATATACAGGTCCTGTATATGTATTGTGTAAGCATGAGTCTCTCGGGAAGGTAGAGGCGAAGAGTGAACTATGAGAGTGTGTACTCATTATTGGTGCTTGCGGAGGGATGAGTCGGCTCTTTGCTCCCGCCTCTCAACTGTCAATCATTTGGTGTACAGCTTCCTAACCCTATTCTACATTTGAAACTGTGTATGGAGTCTGCCTCCACCACATCACTGCTTAGTGCTTTTCATTTGTTAATTACTGACAAATTTCTTTCTAATGTCTCTTTGGCTCATTTCGGTACTCAGTTTCCACCCGTGTCCCCTTGTGCGAGTACCACCCATGTTAAATAATCAGTCTTTATCTACGTACCCTGTCAATTCCCCTAAGAATTTTGTATAAAGACTCCACACTGGAGCCGCATAGTCTACGATTGCTCTGACATATATGATATACAAGGTTCTGAATATTTATTTGCACATATTCCAAGAAGCCGTTCTTATGTTAGCCAGACTCGACCTCGGTATATAGGCAGGTCCTAATCAATAATGCATAATCTAGTGGATATGTCGAAGAGGTCACTACAAGGAAGGTGAGCCGCCATGCTACCTATGATGAGCGGCCTATAACACATTACTGGTCCCTTCTCAGAATATTTTAATATTCTTCAGGAGCTTCTTTTCAACAGCCCACAACAATTAAGAAAGAATCCTGAAAGACATTACTGATAGCAACATGACCCCTCTACCGACACCAACCTGAAGACTGAATTAATATATACTTTAAGAATAAAAAGAGCACCAACTTCCTTATGAAATACTCTGCCGACGCTAAAACAAAACCCCTTGAAAGAGACGAATGTCGTATATACCTTCACATGCGCACTTGGGGACCGTCAGCCACAATCATCTCGATCAGCATATAGGCACGACAACAGCTCTTCCAAAGCGCCTGACAATGCACAAATACCGAGGTCCCATCTACACACACAACCAGAGATATCCTGCCCAGTAACACTTAAATAATAGACAGATACATCGACCATCTTAGACTGGACATTACCGAGGCACTGCACATCAACAATCCCAGCCACTAACAGCCAGCCGACACCCGGTTACCGTATGTCATCTTCCAGACCAAGACGGAACATCCACATAGCGCCAGCCATCACTGGTAAGCTGCAGTGGACCTATGAGGGCCATAGTGAGGTGCTTTACCTCACTGTGGGGCCTATGAGGACCATAGTGAGGTGCTTTACCTCACTGGGCCTATGAGGACCATAGTGAAGTGCTTCACCTCACTCTCGGTTATATATTCGGCTGGTCAACTACATGTATCTCTTACTGAAAATGTAAAAAGAACTTTGGAGTTATTTTTTCAACTTCCTTCCCAAGTGAAGAAAAATAGGCTCGACCGATTTAATGGTCTGAAGTCAATGCCAGAGACAAAAGATGATAATAGGGAGCAATTTTGCTCTAAGATAAACAAAATACATGTCCTAAATAGTACCGTGAATCAAGAGGGTTATGAACAGCTGGTAAGTGACCCGACCTAGGTTGGCCAGTGGCCACAGACCAAACACTCAACTAAGATAACCAGAACCTGGCTTCAAAGTTTTGTTTCATAACTATGACCCCTCGTTAGGTTACAGACTTACATGGGCAGTTCAATCCTCTTCCAATCACCACTGCCCGTTATTCTATACTATAGAGGCATGTCAAACTGAGGGTCCCTCTAGGGCCAGATGGGTCACATTTGCGTTGGCATGAGAGTCTTTTCTGAAGATTTTAAACTTTCTGAAATTCGTAAAGTTTAAATGACCAAATTAAAGTATCCTCTGTGCGGGCCGCGCAAATAAATCAGAGTATAGAGTATATTTGACCCTTTGCAGATATATTGACAAAGTGATTTTAATTTAAAACACTACCATCACTCCCTAAGTTATCAGACCGTAAAATAACATTTGACTAGTCAGACAGACCTTCTCCACGAGTGTAAAGAATACTTTCCTCTGCTTCAATATTCCACAAGAAGAACGTAGTATACCTGGGGGAAGTTACTGTCGTGCCCGAAGCCAGACAAGTGTACCTGGCTGGGGGTGTGTTCACGTGTACCGTGCCTGGCCGGGGGTGTCACTCCGGTAGTTACCCAACACTGCTGGCGGGAGGAGTGAGGTCTTTAGTTCTTGATGCCCCGGTTACTATAGCCTTGTTGTACCCGTCGCGTAATAGTTCAACTTTCATGAGTTAACCGAAATCATGAGTTAACCGAAACGTCGTCGTCCCTTCAACTTCTAGTGTGTGGTCTGGTCAACATCAACTTAACCGAAATCGTTTTGTTCCTGGACTGTGTTCAGGACTACTTGCTGGGTGGTACATTGGGTACCTCAATGTATAAGCCCTAACCACCTCGACCATAAGATGCTCAAAAGAAATGCAATCTGGGATTCAACTGAATGCTCATCATGGCTTCTAATGACTGTCTCATTATTATATTTGCTTGTGGCCTCCATGGACAGGGGTTTCAGATCTATTAGACGACATGTAGTGAGCCACTGAGCACAATATTATCAATGCACAGGAAAACTGAGAGTAATAATTCAAAGAGAAAAAATAATGTTCACACCTATTTCAAAACTTACTGTTTCCATAACTGTTACACTTATTCTGAATAAATAAAAGTTATGTAACATACTGCAATTTAAAAATAAAAAATGTAAATGAATTTAAGTGCATATTGCTAAATTAAAATCAACTACATTTAATTAATTTATTGATTACCAATGTTTTCGGTGTATTAATAAAACTGCTCATCATCTAAGTGACAAAATAATCTATTTAATCTTGTCTGTCGATTTTTTGCGTTAATTTTTGTATGGATATTTTTGATATGGATACCGTTCCAGCCGCCGGTTGTTAAATACACCAACACATAACCTATATATGTCCTATATCAACACTACCTGCAACATTATGATCTGAGTTTTGCTGTTACAACCTGCTCGTTTAGTTCATTCTATTTTCTTAATAACCGTCTGACTCAGTCAAACATCTCTATGGAGTGAAGGTGAGAGAGAGAGAGAGAGAGAGAGAGAGAGAGAGAGAGAGAGAGAGAGAGAGAGAGAGAGAGAGAGAGAGAGAGAGAGAGAGAGAGAGAGAGAGTGAGAGAGAGAGAGAGAGAGAGAGAGAGAGAGAGAGAGAGAGAGAGAGAGAGAGAGAGAGAGAGAGAGAGAGAGAGAGAGAGAGAGAGAGAGAGAGAGAGAGAGAGAGAGAGAGAGAGAGAGAGAGAGAGAGAGAGAGAGAGAGAGAGAGAGAGAGAGAGAGAGAGAGAGAGAGTGAGAGAGAGAGAGAGAGAGAGAGAGAGAGAGAGAGAGTGAGAGGGAGGTGGGGGGGATGGTAGCCGCCACTATATAAGCCAGCAGCCCCAACACTGTACCATCAGTCGCCTCTCCACCGCCACACCCTCAACAGACTATATCACACGATGATCCCCAAGGTGAATTACCGCTTCTTTTATCACTGACCAGAAAATGATGAATGCAACTCATGCTCTATAATGAATGTACTCGCAAAATTGTGCCTGCAGGATCGAGCTTTAGCTCTAGGACCTCGCAAGTATTTGTGCAATTGGAATATTCGTTTCATAATTATGGTTTTAGTCATAGTTTTTTGAAGGGACACGAAAGTTTCATTAACACTGTAGTAACACACATGAATTGATGGCTCGGACCTGATGGCTCTATAATTCCAATGGCTTCCATATTTAAACACATGTATGGTAAGTATACTCACAGAGTTTGGAATCACAGTTTACACTGTTTCATTTGACGTTCTATTCACGTCTCTCACCCCCAGGGTTCTCCTCACAGTTCTGTATCTCGTCTGGGACTCACCCTTGAGCACATTGAATAACTCGTGACTGGATCTTCAAGTCATGCCGTTATGTTTAGCTATTTCTTGTGCTGACTATTTCTACCCCATTTATTATCTCAGTTGCTGTAAGGATCACAGGGACGACGTGTCGTGACTGCATACACATCAATAACATTCTCATAACGTTTTGTTGTAACGTTATCACGTTGTTAGAACGTTGCATCTAAGTACCAATAGTGAAAATAACGATGTTGCTGTGTGTTTGTTTTTTCTTCCTGCGTTTTGAGGTGATTACTAAATCATTCCTTGAATTCAAACCCTCTCGATTCTGGGGCCAATTCTGAGTAAATTACAGGACTACGTTAAAACTACAGGACCTTTTTTTGTGTATGGTTTCTACTCAGAAGTTGCATATTCTAGTATTGATCTGACATACGTTGCGTACAAGAATATGAAGGCTTCGTTCTTTTCTGGTTTAGGGAAATATTGTGTTTCTGGCTTTAGTCTCCTGTCCAAATTCTCATTACCTTACATTAATATAGGTTGACGTCAATCATCATAGTTACAACATAATGAAATCACAAGAACGTAATAAATCTCTAACATACTGAAGCTGAACGATGAGGGGGTTCGATCCCATTGTACAGCAACATCACTTCATCATAGTCACAAGTAGAAAGTACAACATATATGATAAAAATCATTGAGCTATATTTGCATTTTGTTGGTGTGGGTATTTACTACTTGCTTTGACTCTTTGTTCCTGTGGGATCGAGGAGTTAGCTCTTGGGCCCCGCCTTTCTAACCGTCGGTTGTTTAATGTACCAACTCTCAACCTCTTTTCCTCCATCATATCTACTACATATATTTCAAACACACACACACACACCTGTACACCTGTTGATTGACGGTTGAGAGGCGGGACCAAAGAGCCAAAGCTCAACCCCCGCAAGCACAAATAGGTGAGTACACACTGAGAATTTCGTACGTGGTGATCATGTCTCTCCTAACATGTGTCTTCCAGAGACGTGAGGTTTAATTCCGGTAGCCTTTCCTCGTAAATCATACCTCTCAGCTCTGGGACAAGTCTGGTGGCATACCTCTAAATCTTCTCTAACTTCGTCTTGTGTTTAACTAGGTATGGGACTCCAGGCTGGAGCTGCATATTCCAGTGAATGTGTGACTGGAAACTAAACACGAGAGGAAACATTAAAGCAGGAAACCCTTAATGACCCAACTGTCTCCCCCACAGGTGGCCCTGGTTATGGTGGTGGTGGTGGGCATGTCTCTCGCCGCCCCTGAAGACCGCTACGGTGCCCCTGGACCACAACCGGCTTACAACCAGGTCAGTCAACATCCTTTTTTCTCATTTAACACACAATATAAAAGTTTATAACTCCATAAAACAGTTTGCTGTTGTTCATAAAGCACTGACACATGTAACGAATATTTAATGCTTGGATAACTATGGTAAATTCTGTGACTTGCCCAATAGGTTGTAATTCCCTACAACTTCGAGTATGGCGTCAAGGACGAATATGCCGGCACTGACTTCAGCCAAGCCGAGGAATCTGATGGGAAAACTGTCACAGGTTCCTATACTGTTCAACTTCCCGACGGCCGCAAACAGACGGTAAGTTGACAGAAAACTGTAGTTTAGCGCTGAAATGTCTTCCTGAAGCAACCGAACCGTCTCATTGTGGTTTGTGTCTTATTTTAAACCCAACTGTTTCAGGTAACCTACGTTGCTGACGACTACGGTGGCTACCGGGCTGAGGTCAGTTATTACGGTGAAGCCCAGTACCCCTACGAATACGGTCCCCCCATCACCTTCAAGCCCCAGTACCAGCCCTCTTACCAACCCCAGCCCTCATACCAGCCAGAACCTGTCTATCAATAACACAGTTATCAATATAGTCTTGATATCAAATCATATATACCATCATCTTCGACTTCATGGCAAATTTATATTTAATATTAAATAAAATCCTATACCATTAATTCAAATACTTTCTTATAAATGAATCCTTTACATAAGAACGTATGAAACTGCAGAAGGCCTACTGGCCCATACGAGGCAGCTCCTATTTGTATCCACCCAAACACTGGTGACACACGTACATCAGCCCTACGTGGGTGTCGCAGCACCAGTGGACGGTGGTAGCAGGTGTAGGTGGGTGTGGAGTCATGTGCCTCGCGCTGTAGGGATCTGTAACAGCTTAGACTACTCGGTAGATTGCAGCTGTGAATATTAACACAATATTTTGTTTAGCTAACTGATTTTATTCTAATATTGCCTATGATCAATATAAGATTACTTTCTTCATAAATGTAACTTGGACTAAGAATTACAAAAGTAGTAAATAACTTTTTAAAACGTAATAAAATCTAATCCAGTAATGAACAATGGTGGAGATCTGTAGGTAATTCTCCCAATAACTGTAAATAATATACTGAAAGACCTCGAGCTCTTTCCTTGTTTATAGTTATACTGGAATACTTATTATACTGCTACTCCACACTGGTAGGCTTCCATGCTGGACCAACCAGGTTGTAGTGGCCATATGGGGCCTGCGGGCCTGTTGGACCAAGTCATCAAGCCTGGTCCGAGGCCAGGCTTGGAGAGTAGAACTCCCAGAACCTACTTCAGGTATAGTCTACCCCAAGACTTTCAGCCAGTTCCCACTACTCTTTTACAGGTGTAGATAATGATATATAATTCTCACCTGTATTTCTGGAAGCATTGAGGGTTTGAGGGATTTTCCATAGTGTGTGTTTTACTGGTGGGTGTGGGAAGTTAATGTTCTCTAGGCCTAGGCAAATGTCAGCCTCAAAGGGGAATATAAATGTACAGAAATAATCGGTTAACAGTTAAAGCCTAAAATGAAAACAACTGGCTCTGAATCATTTGTTTAGAAGGTTCTTGTTATACAGAACATCAGTGTCTGTGTAGCTGTGACAGTTACTTAAGTATGTTCTTTACAAACAAGTTCTTCCAGCATAGCTTTTTTTTGTTTCATTGATATCAATCTAGAACGCAAGATCCATATATTATCACGAGAAATATAAATAACGATGATAAGCACAAACCCCGAACCCTGCAACCTGTCCTTCAAAGAACGTCGCTTTTAGATCGTATGCGTTACACAAGGCCAAATATTGTCGTACTACAAAATGAAAGCGGCTGGCGAATGTGACGTACTGTCCCGTTTTCTGTTTTGGGTCCTCTGGTAGGTTAGGAGAGGCCACTTTAAATTGATCGTTTTCTTGACGTTGGGAACATTAGGAGAACGTCCTGCGAACCAAAGGCTCAGAACTCCCCGCGCGCATCCTTCCATTTTGCAATACAATCCTCAGGCAATTTTATTGGCCTGGCGAACATTCATTCCACAGTCAGTTGAAAATGGAAAGTCTTTACAGCGGGCGCCGCAGCCATTTGACGACTAATGGAAGCAATTAATTCAAATCCACGCTGTCACTCACGAGAGTGCCGTGGAAGAGGCATTGTGGGTTAGAAATAAAGTGCTTTCATCAACCAGTGAATGGCTGTGGTTCAAACCTTAAGGACATCTTCTCTCCTGACGTGGGGAGTTTCCAGGGAAATGTATATGTCAGAGATGTGATGTTTACTAGCTGGTCCAGCCGCTTGTGAGTACACATGACTCTCATATCCACATGTGTAAGAACATAAGAATGACGGTAACTGAAGAATGCCTATATTGGCCCATAGGAGGCGGCTCCTATTTATAGCCACCCAATCTCATTCATATGCTCGACACCTATTAGTTGTGGATTATTTCCAGCTTTCTTAAATGTTTTTTAAACGGGCCTTCACGATGGGGCGGCATACTGTAAAACATTTGTGTGTGTGTGTGTGTGTGTGTGTGTGAGAGAGAGAGAGAGAGAGAGAGAGAGAGAGAGAGAGAGAGAGAGAGAGAGAGAGAGAGAGAGAGAGAGAGAGAGAGAGAGAGAGAGAGAGAGAGAGACAGAGAGAGAGACAGAGAGAGAGACAGAGAGAGAGACACAGAGAGAGAGAGAGAGAGGGGGGGGAGGACACACACACACGGGGGGGGAGAGAAAATCGGTCGTATTCAATTTTTTATATACTTCAGACCCGTGTCAGAGTTTTATTATCAGGCTTTACGAATTAGCATGAATAAGCGCAACGAAAGAATTCTGATTGTATCAAGTATGTTTGGTACAAGTCATATTCCAACAGGTTCAGAAATTCCTGCATGTGAAGACATTCGCCCCCAAGGAGAATTTGATCACCAGGGAACATATATTTCTACCACAGTTACAGGATCCGAATGCATCATTATCGTCCGGTGGTTGAATGTGTTGGGTGACCTCACTCTCTCGTCACGTAAGGTTTGTTTGGTTGCTGTGGAGGGGTCCTCGCCTAGTTGTACTTGCAGGGTTGAACACCAGCTCTTCAGTCCCACCTTTCGACCATCAGTATAGTTCAATGCATTGCCTCTTTTCACTAATTTTTTTCTTTTCATATTGGCATTTAAAGCTGCACTGGCTCCAACAACTTTCTCCATGTAGTCTGCTTCATTCACGATTCTAAGACCGCAAAAGTTCTTCCGCACATCTCATGACTCATCTGTCCTTCTAATATAAAATTATGCCCTTTCATTCTACTGTTTCCTCACTCTGAATATTTCTTTTATATATGTATATTATATATACTTTGTCAACCTCCTCAGTATCCTGTCTGTCCTATTACTTCTTTTCCCCTCTGTAGTGAGGTGCAATTTTTCATTCTTTCTTCACAGCTCCCTTAGCTCAGGAACAAGAATGATTGCATAGATGTTTTAAAGTTTTGTGTTTCTTTTAAGTAGGGAAGGGGGGTTCCATGCTGGGGCAGCGTACTCAGCAATGAGTCCCACGAAGGATGAATATTGCGCTCAGAAAGGATCTTTGTCCAGGTTCCTGAAGGATAACCGAACGTTTACCAGTGCGACATATGCAGCTGTCTTTATTCTGTTGATGTGTGACTGGTGTTAGTTCTCCAGTTACTTCCACTCCAAACTCTCTCTCTCGTTTTCTGAAGTGCGAAGTTGCCTTCCCTCCATCCTGTACTGTACGTGATGCCTTCGTGGGCCAGTTCGTATCCTCGTAACCTTGCATTTGTCAGGGTTAGTCTGTTAGCCATTTCTTAAGCCATCTAACGAGTTGTCTACTTCATTTTGCAATGCATTTCTGTTTCAATTCGCATTAACTTAGCATTAGTAAGCATCGATATGAGTGAGATTACTGCCTCTGTTAGATTGTTGACATATATTAGAAACTGGATGGGCCCTAGCACCGATCCCTTGAGGTATTCCACTCATTACTTCTCGCCTGTCTAACAGCTTTCCTCTTACTATGCCTCTTTGCATTCTTCCTGAAAGGTACTCCTTCACTTCATTACAATTTTCTTTTTCAAGTTTGCACAAGAGTCGCTTGTGAGGAACAGTGGTGGTAGGTGAGAAAGTTCTGTCAAGAACACCCTGGTGCCTCAGTGTGTTAGGCTGTTGTAGTGTGTTGATGGTGAGAGCTGGTCGTGTCAGGGCCACCCTGATGTCTCAGTATAAAGCCATGACAGATGGCTAGTCTGACATCAGTTACTCTACAACCTCCCCGCTCAACATGTACATGAAGGTAGCGTCAATCTTTTAAGGTTCATCGCGCCAGTTCTTAAACACGAACATTGGATCAGTCCAAAATATATATTGCTATTAACTTACATCATCTCGGCCTCCAACTTTGTCCTAGTCTGGAAAATTACATTAAAAGTAAATTACATTTAGACATTCAAAATAAGTTAAATTAAAAAACAACCGCCGTTTCATTACAAATATATTCATAAATATTTATATGCTGGTTATTTTGAAAGATTTCTTTGAAATGGATTCGAGTACAAATCACACAGGACTTTATAATACCTTGCACGCTACAGGTGTCCCTGGCGGTGGTGGTGGTGGTGGTGACAGTTGTGGGCCTCGTCCACGCCTCTCCAACACCCGGATATGAAGTAATTGCTCAACTTTTTTGTTAACTCTTTTAATCGTAACTCTGAACAGTGCAATTCCCAAAATACTAATTTACTACCTAATATGAACCTCTAGAGGGTTTTAAGGACACATATATAGTTTAGTGAACACTAAAGAAAGTATTCTTAAGTGTTCTTTAGTGCTAAATATAGTCCAGGACTAAAGTCAACTCTCAGTGTATACACACACTCAGAAGTGTGACACACTCTAGTAAACACTTCATAATAGTGACACTGTCCTCAGGTGGCCAGACCGTACAACCATGGAGCCCAGGATGACAGTGCCGGCAACGACATCAGTCAATATGAAACATCTGATGGTGACACTATCACGGGCTCCTACACCATCAACCTCCCCGACGGACGCAAGCAAACGGTAAGGTCACCATCTCTCTATATACGTCACAAACACAGCACAATAACGTGATATATTTGTGTACAAATTATTGAAGCAGGACGACGAGACGGAACAGGCGTCCAGGGTCGTCCCCAGGACGCCTGTCCCCTGGACGCCTGTCCCTTGGACGCCTGTTCCCTGGACGCCTGTCCCCTGGACGTCTGTCCCCTGGAAGCCTGTCCCCTGGACGCCTGTCCCCTGGATCTGTCCCCTGGACGTCCCCCTCCCAGCGTCCTGTTTCAAAGATTTCCTCCACAGAACACAATACACAACTAACCTTAACGTGCCAGATCTAAATATCATTGCGCTTTATCATGCTCTTGGTAGCGGCCACTTAGTATATGCAGCGTAGTTTTGGTCGCCGGAATATATAATAAAAATAAATTCACTTTAACGAATATAGAAAAAAAGAAAAACAATGCGAATCCCAGGAATTAGAAACCATCCTTATCTTGAGGTTATCTTGAGATGATTTCGGGGCATAGTGTCCCCGCGGCCCGGTCCTCGACCAGGCCTCCTTTTTGTTACACACTCCCAGGAAGCAGCCGTAGCAGCTATTTAACTCCCAGGTACATATTTATTGCTAGGTAAACAGGGGCATCAGGGTGAAAGAAAATATACCCATTTGTTTCAGCCTCCGCCGGGGATCGAACCCGGAATCTTAGAAACTACGAATACCGAGCGCTGTCCACTCAGCCGTCAGACCTTCCTTAATTTGTCAAAGCTAATCCCAGAAATTAGAAATCTTCCTTAATTTGACAGATACAAAAATTAACTTACATTCTCTAGAAAGACGAAGAATACGGGGTAACATGGCTGAATTATATGAATGGATGAAATTAAAATAGACCTTGAAACAATGGATATCAATTTCGTGAAGTTTAGATGCAGTTAAAACCTGGGTAAATACTGGGTTTGGAAATAGGATTGTTGAGTCATGGAGCAAATTACCGAGTAACATAATAATGGGCTCGAGGGAGTGTTTCAAGCGTAACTATTTGTTCACTTTTGTATACCCCTAACATATATACATGTTAGCTTGGGTGTGTGTATATATATATTAATACACACACACACACACACACACACACACACACACACACACACACACACACACACACACACACACACACACACACACACACACACGTGTTTCATCGCATGTATCATTAGGCCTCCCACAATTCCCCTTTTTCTTTGTGTTCTTATTTCAAGCCAAATGTCTAATACAACTGATTTGTGGTATAAAAGAACACTCGAGTAAAAGGTAAAATAACTGCTTTATTGCATTCGACAGGTGAAGTACGTGGCCGACTACGGTGGCTACCACGCCGAGGTCAGTTACTACGGTGAAGCCCAGTACCCCCACCAGTACGGTCCCCCCATCACCTTCAAGCCCCAGTACCAGCCCCAGCCCTCATACCAGCCCCAGCCCTCATATCAGCCCCAGCCCTCATACCAGCCCCAGCCCTCATACCAGCCCCAGCCCTCATACCTTTAGATCCTAACTAAACATATCTTTGATGTTCCGTGTGGTTGGGAACCATTACGTCACTGTCCTCCTATCCCATCCCTTGTCCTCTTATCCCATTCCCCGCCCTCTTATCCCGTTTCCTGTCCTTATATCCCATCTGTCTTCATATTCCATCTGTCCTCATATGCCATCTATCTGTCCTCATATGCCATCTATCTGTCCCTCATATGCCATCTATCTGTCCTCATATGCCATCTATCTGTCCTCATATGCCATCTATCTGTCCTCATATGCCATCTATCTGTCCTCATATGCCATCTATCTGTCCTCATATGCCATCTATCTGTCCTCATATGCCATCTATCTGTCCTCATATGCCATCTATCTGTCCTCATATGCCATCTATCTGTCCTCATATGCCATCTATCTGTCCTCATACCCCATCTATCTGTCCTCATATCCCATCTACCTGTCCTCATATCCCATCTATCTGTCCTCATATGCCATCTATCTGTCCTCATATGCCATCTATCTGTCCTCATACCCCATCTATCTGTCCTCATATGCCATCTATCTGTCCTCATTTCCCATCTGTCCTCCTATCCCATCTCATACCCCGGATCTTGTCTTCACATCCCCCCTTTCCAAGTGCTAGCCATACTGCACAAGCGGTTTCACCTGACGACACGTGAGCTGCACTCGGCACATACCACAACCCTCTGCTAGCTTCCACCCCAACAACATCTACGTGTGAACTCTGCTGTGTTGTGATTTTAATAAAGAGAAAAATCTTTGAAAAACTTTGAATTTTCCTCATTTAGCATCTCCGAGAAAGTTGACTTAAGCTTATTCGCATCAATTTGCAAACACAGGTGTGAGCACTACAACAGGTAAGATGCTGCGAGGAAATCTTCGTCTCCATGGAAACCGCTTCACAGCATCTTCCACGTGCATTTGTTTATTTGCATGTCATTTAATATATAAACACTTAAAACCGTTTCTTCAATATATTTAAAAGGACTTATGAAGGCCAATTTCGGTTCAGTCATTTTCAACAGAAGCTACTTGAAGGAGGCCTACCTGTTTATCATTCCGAGGATCAGCGTCCCCACGGCCCGGTCTCTGATCAGGTCTCCTTGTTGGTAGCCTGGTCAATCAGCCTGTTTATGCAACTGCTCGTAGTTTGACGTATGACCCACAGCCTTGTTGATCAGGAATCCTTTGGAGGTGTTTAACAAGTTATTTCTTGAACACCGTGAGAGGTTAGTCAGTTATGCCCCTTATGATTAGAGGGAGAGTGTTGAACAGTCTCGGGCCTCTGGTGTTGATAGTTCTCTCTCAGCGTACCTATTGTTCCTCTGCTTTTCAACGGAGCAATGTAGCACATCCTGCCATGCCTTCTGGTCTCATGTGGAGTTATTTCAGTGTATAAGTTTGGAACCAGTCTCTCTATTATTATCAAAATTTATAATATTTTGTATCTCTCTCCTTCGCTCTGGAGAATAAAAAAGATTTAAAATTATTAAGCGGTAAAAATAACTTAAATGTTTTGCATAGTGGATTCGGACAGTAAAAGATCTCTTGATATCCTCCAGGTCAGCAATTTTTCCAGCTTTGAAAGGGGCTGTTAGTGGGCAACAATATTCCAACATCGAGAACACAAAAGTCTCAAAAAGAATCATTGGGACAGCATCTCTTGATTGAATGGTTTGAAGTGTGTAATCAACATTATATATTAATTATTCTTTATCTGTATTAAATTATTCGTTATCTTATACAATATTTACTAAACTTTAAAAAATGTCTTTTTTGTAGGAACCTTATTTAGCCTACTATTGTATTCATGTTTTAGTAACATCAACCAGGTACGCGGAACGCCTCGCCTGGCGTTCCGCGAGCGCTATGTCATGGGTTCGTATCCTGGCCGGGGAGGATTTACTGGGCGCAAATCCTTAACTGTAGCCTCTGTTTAACGCAACAGTAAAATGTGTACTTGGATCAAAAAACGATTCTTCGCGGCGGGGATCGTATTCCAGGGACCTGCCCGAAACGCTACGCGTACTAGTGGCTGTACAAGAATGTAACAACTCTTGTATATATCTAAAAAAAAAAAAAAAAAAAAAAAAAAAAAAAAAAAAAAAGGTAACTGCTGAAAAACGAAAGTAAAGCAGCCACGGAAAATGTCACTTATACCAAATGAAATTCACAATTTACTATACTATACTACGCCAAATACAAATGTCTTGAAATTACAATATTCTCGATTTGATCTTCACAAACAATTAAGAGGTAATCAGGAACGTGACACACTCATAGCTGCTTCACTGACCACAAACTTCACAGAACATAACCTCACAGGAATAGTCTGTAGAGGCTGAATTGGTCAAAACGTAGCAGCTCCGATTTATACCCGTCTGTTCCAGCCAGTTGACAGGCTGTTGAACAGCCTGTCTGTTCCAGAGAGACAAATAATGTATCTGTCTAGTCTTTTATACTGGGACAAGGAGCACAAAGAATTGTCGAGACGTGTGCAAGCTCTGGTAAACAATGGTCACACTAACAAAGCAAAGAACACTTGCATTAAGAAGTATCTAGAGATGCCAAATCCCAGATGCCAAAGAATCTAGAGATGGTGGGTACAACTAACCCACCACACCAGCACTCGTCCCCACCCTTCAACTTATATTACAAATCCATCATGAATGCCCAAAACAAGACGGATGAATGCATTATAAAAGGACATCATAACCTGAGGAGCAAAACCAGTTGACCATAACCAAAAACTGGAACTCTCAATCCACTGTAGGGCCAAGCAAAAAGGATTAATTAATGCATATCACTAATCAACTTGACACCTATTACAAATCCAGGACCTCGAAACTCAAATCCTCAAAAAATCCTCCGGGGCTGGACGCATTCCCAAGATGCAGGAGGCGTTTCCCCTCTGAACCGCCACACTAAGGAGCTGGAACATGAAACTTCTCTCTCTATGGCGTTTTGTAACCGTAATTTATTTGTCGCCCACTTCTTTCAGGAATCTCAGTGCATATTTCCTCACCAACTAAGGATTTCCCAATCAACTGCAGTAAAATTGTAGCATTGTGCCAGACCTCTGCATTTGGTGGTTTTCTGTATTTCCCTGAAAGAGGCAACACCACACACTTCGATTATAGTGAACTGAAGGGCGGTACTGGCCAATGGTGGAGGCACATGTGCAGTCCCACACATCCCTTCAGGGAGGCATAGTGACCCTGACCCGATGCTTCTGTGAGTGTTATTGGGTGTGTATAGGCGTGGTGACCATCGTGCTGGGGCACTCTGGCGAGGCTCCACTTGATTTCACTGACTTCTTCCTGTCTTTCCTTGTGATTTATCACTAATCGATGCTCATAATAGTCTTCCAATGCCCTTCTGTAGATGCATCCGTGGTTGGTGAGCATAGGGGCAGCAAGGCAAAGGGCTGCACCAATATGAAGAGCATCATGATAGTTGCGAGTTCCCAGGCTTGAGCTGGGTACGGCAAATCAAATATCCCCTGCATGGGGGAGCTTTTACCTGCTTGATACCTGCTTGATGGGGTTCTGGGAGTTCTTCTACTCCCCAAGCCCGGCCCGAGGCCAGGCTTGACTTGTGAGAGCTTGGTCCACCAGGCTGTTGCTTTGAGCGGCCCGCAGGCCTACATACCCACCACAGCCCGGTTGGTCCGGCACTTTTTTTTAGAAAACAATCTAGTTTTCTCTTGAAGATGTCCACGGTTGTTCCGGAAATATTTCTTATAGTCGATGAGAGGACGTTGAGCAACCGCGGACCTCTGATGTTTATACAGTTTTCTCTAATTGTGCCTATAATTGTCTGCCTAAATAGTGCCTAATTGTCCCCTGCTCTTCACTGGGTCTATTCTGCATTTTCTTCCATATCGTTCACTCCAGTACGTTTTAATTTTTACTGTGTAGATTTGGGACCTGGCCCTCCAGTATTTCCCATGTGTATATTATTTGGTATCTCTCTCGTCTCCTTTCTAGTGAGTACATTTGGAGAGCTTTGAGACGATCCCAATAATTTAGGTGCTTTATCACGTCTATGCGTGCCGTATATGTTCTCTGTATTCCATCTATTTCAGCAATCTCTCCTGCTCTGAAGAGGGGGACTGAGTACTGAGCAGTACTCAAGACGGGACAACACAAGTGACTTGAAGAGTACAACCATTGTGATGGGATCCCTGGATTTGCAAGTTCTCGTAATCCATCCGGTCATTTTTTCTGGCTGACGCAATATTTGCTTGGTTATGCTCCCTAAACGTTAGGTCGTCAGACATCATTATTCCCAAATCCTTGACATGCTGCTTTCCTACTATGGGCAGATTCGATTGTGTTTTGTACCCTGTATTATGTTTCAGATCCTCATTTTTGCCGTACCTGAGTACCTTGAATTTATCACTGTTAAACATCATGTTATTTTCAGCTGCCCAATCGAAAACTTTGTTGATATCTGCTTGTAGTTTTTCAATGTCTTCAGCCGAGGCAATTTTCATGCTGATTTTTGTGTCACCTACAAAGGATGACACGAAGCTGTGACTTGTATTTTTGTCTATATCTGATATGAGAATAAGGAACAGCAGTGGTGCAAGGACTGTACCTTAGCTTTTAACTGCGCTTGGACTCGATATTATATGTGACTGACTGTTACTCTTTGTGCTCTGTTCGACAGGAAATTGAATATCCAGAGTCCTACTTTACCAGTTATTCCCATTGACCTCATTTTGTGTGCTATCACTCCATGGTCACATTTGACGAATGCCTTTACAAAGTCTGTGTATACAACATCTGCATTTTGCTTTTCTTCTAAAGCTTCTGTGATTTTGTCATCGTGGTTGAGTAACTGTGACAGACAGGATCTTCCCGCTCTAATTCCATGTTGTCCTGGGTTGTGTAGCTCATTATTTTCCATAAAACTAGAAATTTTATTCCTAATCACTCTTTCAAAAACTTTTATTTTGTGTGATGTTAGTGCAACTGGTCTATAATTTTTTGCCAAGGCTTTGCTACCCACCATGCGCAGAGGAGCTATATCTGCAGATTTAAGTGCTGCTGGTATCTCCCCTGTATCTAGGCTATTTCTCCATATTACATTGAGCGCTCGCGCTACTGGTACTTTACATTTCTTTATGAATATTAAATTCCACGAGTCAGGCCCAGGAGCTGAGTGCATGGGCATGTTGTCAATTTATCTTTCAAAGTCTTCTGAGTTCGTGTTAATATCAGTTATATTATCTGAAGCTTGAATGTCATTCATAAAGAAGCT